CGCCTTGTTTGGTTTTTTTTGGCGGTCCGGCTTCTGCTGAGGAAGCAACGCCTTCGCGTGGAGCTGGGCAGGTGTGTGCCAGTGGGATTCGGGCTGAATTTAAACCTAGAAGAGCCGAAGCTTCCTAAATCGCCGCTGCAGCTCGGCGCTTGGGGGCCAGGCCCCTGCAGCAACCGCCGGCAGCGTGTCGGTGAAACGAGGGGGCTCAAAGGGTCCCAGCCCGTCTTTTGGGGGTTGGGGGTTAAGTATAGAAGATGTTTTTAAGCGACGTGTTTGCCTCATTGAATAAATGTGCTTATTTTAACAGTCAGTACTGGCTCTGGCAGTGAACAAGGTGAAACAATATGTTGATATCGCAGCTGACTTCCCACTTACTGAAGGCTTCACGAGTTGCAGGTAAACAGATGTTACGTGACCCAGTTTTCTGTTTGGTTGGGGGTTGTTTTGTTCTGTTTTTTCCCCCTGAGGTAATTAGGCTCCCAGAAATGTATTTTCCAAGAAGCAGTGCAAGAGTGGTGAGGCTGTTGTTGATTCAGTGGTTGTTGAATGTTATGTCTGATCTATTCTGTTAGTATTGTATAGCTCTGATTTGACCTCTTTTAAGCTTAGGGGGAGATTCCGTAGCAGCAGAAATACAGCGAATGGTTTCTAGCCGTTCCAAGTTGCACTTACACAGTTTACACGGTAAAATACCGTATAATGTATTTTCAGCAGATGACGTTACAGCAACATAGTTAAAATTAAAAAAGACTTCCTTGCTTTTGTGATGGGAGTATAATTTCTGTAAGCAGCCTCCTGTGTGAGGTTAGTCTGGCTATAGTTTGAGACCTGGGCAGAACTTTTCTCAAGATACTGTTTGAAAATTCTGTCTCTTAAGTGGAATTCTTCTCTTCTCAAAGGACACCTTTTGCCAAGGTCGGTGTCGTCCTTCCTATGCTGCCATTCTGCCTCTGCACACTATAGCACACAGCCGTCAAATAAGAGCGGAGCCCAGCCTCAGCGGTGGTATGCTCTGGACCCTGAACTGGAAGAGATGCTGATCCCTAGAAAACTGTCCATCAGCCCCTTAGAAAGCTGGCTGACAGTTCGATACTCCCTTCCTAAAGCAGAAGTCCTTGATGCTCAGGAAGAAGCGAGCGACGAGCCTCTCCACCGATATGACTGTCCCCCGTCAGACGAGGGAGCTGACGTGGAGGAAGGAGAAGGAACACTTAGCGACAAGCTACAGTGTAAGAACGTTTTGAAGATTCGCAGAAGGAAAATGAACCGGCACAAGTACAAGAAGCTGCTGAAGCGAAGGAAGTTTGTACGGAGGAGGATAAAGGAAGGTCGCAAGAAGAAACGCCAGGTAAGCTCAGGGTAGAGAGAGCGTCTTGACATAAATGTGTCCCCTTCTCAAACTGGCATCTGTTCAGGTATTGCGTGATGTTTGTAAGTGGAACCAGTTTGGGGAAAAATGGCAGCAGCTCCGAGAGCCTTAATGAATTCAGTATTTGCTGGTACAGTAGGTTTTGTGCTTCACCTGTACACATTCAGAAGCTGTAATTTAGAATGTGTCTGTGGTTGTAAATGTACATGTGTGATAGGTATCAGGTGTAACTTTTCTTGCATGACAGTAATTTATAAATACTTGTGGCTAACAGAGAAGAATTTCAGAGTTTGTGTGAAAGATGAATTCCCATGTCCATGTTATGTCGGGGAGATTGGTTTCAGCTTAATTTCTTTCCTGTCTTGCCAACATCCTCACGTGCTTCCTGTTGTCTTTTTCTGTATAGCAGCCTTTTAGTTAGGTTTGCTATGATATAGTTTAGTTCATTCTTTGGTAATTTTCACCTTGCCTAGGTGCAAATTTGGGTTAATTGTAATTCAGTTTTGTTAGATCTGTAGGGAGCAGTGTTGAACACTTTATGATGAGGAAATCCTCCCAATTTTCTTAGAGTTTCTTTTTCCATCTTCTCCGTTTTCCTTGCACGGGACTTTTAAAATAATGCTACCAAGATTCTTTTGCATTTTAGTGTATTTTCTGCAGTAAGGCAAACTATTTTGACACTTGGAACCAACTGCCGACTTAAAGCATTTGTTTCCTTCCTGTGTGTTATACCTAGATTCTTCACATGGGCAGTGGCTGAATACTTGAGTGTTGCTTCTGAGCTGTGTTACCACTTTTTATTTTTTCTTTCTTTTTTCTTTTTTTTTTTTTTTCTCTGTTTTAGATAAAATTTGAGAAAGACTTGGAGCGCATCTGGAAAAGAGCTGGTTTGAAAAATCCTCCTGCGGGATGGCAAACACCCAAGATATTTCTGAAAAGTTCCAGGCGATAAAAACACTTGTCATGAGCTTTAACCTGTAATTGTAATTAAAAAAAATATTTAACTGCACGGATTACATTTAGCCTGTGTCTGAGTGTGATGGTGTTGGTAGGAGGAAACTTCCAGTCTTGATGAGCCGTTTTCCAAGGGCAAACCTGACAGCAGTGTGCTTTTCTTCCGCAAGAATGGTGTGAGCTCTTGTGGCACTGCTGTGTACGGTCCTGTGCTGCTGCCCCCAGCTGTGTGTCTGAGCAAAGGTGTCTCAGACGGCAGCAGAATTTCTGAAGCTGCTCTTTAAGGTTAGAGTGAGCGACGTGCTGTAAGAGCAATCCGTTGCGGGAGATGGCATAAGCGATAGAATTCCTCTGATTGTCTATGGCACAAGCAGCTTGAAAAGTTCTCAAAATTGCTTTCTTTCATAGCTTACTGTAGAAGGGCTGGTGGTCACTAAGAGTTATGGTGAAACAGGAATTGGATCAGAATTCCATTGAACAGATCTGCAAAAGCTGTAATGCTTGCTTATCTGAAGCCTCAGTGTGCACGTGCCTTAGGCGTTGCATGAGCATCCTTTAAAAAGGCTTTTTTTTTTCCTGTTCTGTTTTGTGCTAATAAAAAATTATTTTTTTTTACCATTGACCTCTACATTGAACTTCCAGATATCAGTATCAGGAAAAGTTCAGAGCTCATTATTCGTTAAGTACAAAAACTGTTTTGTGCCTGAGACAACTCTGTCGTTATCAGCTGGTTTTACATGCTTGAAGAGAGTTGTGAAAGCTGTGAAAAATACAGATATTTAAAATAAACCCTGACAGAGGACTTTATATCTGGGTTCTGGTTTGGATTCTGCTTTTGATTTTCCTGTTCGAGGCAGGTAACTTCTGTGTGATTGAGCTCTTCCGTGTCTGTGTTCCAGCAGATAGGTGGGTGGACTGACCTCAGAGAAAGGAGGGGAAAAGGAGTGAGCTCCCTCAGGCTTGCCGTTCTGCAGCATGCAGGAAAGCTACCCTGAAAATGCATCTCCGTCTGTCTGCGGGCAGCGGAACCCTTGACTAAACCGAAAGGGAAGAAGAAAAAAAAATCTCTGGAGCTCATTGGTACAGGGTGCAGTTCAATCCCGCTGCAGGAGGGACTGTGGCTCCTAGCGCGCTGAGCGTGTCTGAGGTCCTGGGTATGGCGCTCTGCCCTTCTTGTCGCTAGATGGCAGTCAGTTCAAAGCCTCTGGAGCTCCTTAGCTGTAGATGCAGAAGCTAGCTGGATCTTTACGTTGGTGTTTTAAGGAAAGGATACACCCACATTTCAAAATTGATTAGTCTTGCGAGAGAACTGCTGGCGTTCTGAGGACTGTATTGAAGTCCTGTAGAAACGCGTGGTCAGCGTATTTGTATAGTTCTTTTTTCCAAACCATGTGCTAACAAAAGGCAACTGATCAAAAAAAAAATTAGAATTATGTTCCATCCTTTTTTGTGCTTTAAATAGACAGGAGTTGCTTTTAACCAAGACCAGTAGGAGTCCTTCCTTCAGCCTACTGTCAGGGTTTCAGTGGAGGATGTCTAGCCGTGAGCCGTAGAAACTCACCAAGCCAGAGAAGATTGAGTGTTGATTCTGGCTTACAGGTTTGTTAAATATGCAGAGTGCATCTGGGTGTTTCTAAAATATCAATATGTATTCCCTGCAGAGAGATGCACAGATGAAAGGCTGGGGCCTGAGAGGATTAGCACCTTTGAAGTCAGGTCCGTGTGTGGTTTTTTTTCCCCTAGTCACATTTGTTTTAAGAGCCTTTATGCCAGCTTTGTTGTCAGTCCTCCAGCTTCTCTGGGTGACTCGTAGTCCGAGCTTGGTGTATTTCTGTCTAGGGAGAAATGGTAATCAGCTTGCCCATTTCCAGGAGACTGCTGGCTGCTGAAGAGTCGGGATGCCTTTGGAATGACATGGAGCAAAAGACTTTATAAAAGACAGCAGTAGCGTGCCCTGCTCATTTATCAGTGCTGTACCCCTGATTCCAGTTTTGAGGTTTATTCTTCCTTGATTTTCTTTTTGTCTCAATCCTATGTCTTGCATCTTTGTTCTCTGTTGTAGTCTCTAAATCTACAAGCTGCCCACGGGTATGCAATTCATTTTTACCCACTAAGGCTTAGGTTGGTCTTATCTCTCTCTAGTTTGACATAAAAACTCTTGCTTTTGGGGAG